CAGGGGCTGCAGCCTACGCCGTCGCCGGCGACTCATGGCAGCCCAGCTCCAGGTTGAGCTGTTGTTCAGCATCTTAGCTGTGGAGGGCAGCGTCACTGGCCCTCATATGTGGGATCCAAACCGCGGCCCTCTGGCATCCCAAGCCAGTTCTTAACCATCGTGCCACTCGGCCGGCCCCATTTTGACCATTTTTAAGTGTACAGTTCAGTGACATTAAGTATATTCACACTGTTGTGCAACTGTCTTTTTAGGGCATGATCCAGAAGTGGCATATATCATTACACTCACCTCCCACTAGCCAGAAACTAATCACATGGCTACACCTATGTGGAAAGGAGATTGGGATGAAATGTGTTCTTTACCCAGGCAATTATGTGCCCAGCTGACACTCGAAAATTCCCTCAATAAAGGAAAATGTGCAGCCCTAATAGCCCCACTCTACCTTCTTTTTTTTTTTTAATTGGGGAATTGGGGAATTGGGGGAGGGAAACAGTGTTGGGGAATTGGGGAGGGGGACCAGCCAAGTTGTTGTTCTTCAATCTTAGTTGTGGAGGGTGCCAATCGCCATCTGGCTGCCTGTCTGCAGCTCATGGCTGTAGTTCAAGGTGCTGTGTTACAATCTTAGTTGCGGGTGAGCATAGCCACCATCCCATGTGGGAGTCAAACCAGCAGCCTTGTTCTTAAGAGCGCACACTCTATCCACTGGGCCATCCAGGTGGCAGCTCAGCTCAAGGTGCTGAATTCAGTCTTAGTTGCAGGCGGGCATAGCCCACCATCGAACAGGCAATCTTGTTGTTAGGAGCACGTGCTCTCACCAGCTGAGCCATCCTGCCACCTGTTGACAGCTAGCGGCAGCTCAGCTTGGGCACAGCATCACTGGCCCATGTGGGAATTGAACCGGCGATCCTGTTGCTAAGAGCTCTCACTTTTAAGCTAACTCTTAACCAACTGAGCCACTCGGCCGGCCCCTCATGTACCTTTTTCTACCTTCTGTTCCTTTAAGGCTCTGTTCCTTTGCCCATTTGTACAGTCTTGTGTTTGGTCTATTGTCTGTATGCTCTTCTTGTGTCTGCTGGCATCAGGGCTGGATGCCTGGGGTTCTGATGCCTAGAAGACAGAGAAAACAGCTGCTTTTAATTGCTGGTGGTGGGCCATGCGTTTTCCTGAAAAGTTGAGTTGAGATCAACTCTCGTAAATAAAAATAATTTTCTTTAACTTATTTGAAATACTTGCATATATAAAAGAATATTTTTATAAATCATTTGGTGAAACAAATAATCGTTTTTAAGATACCGGCCACTCTGCTCTGTCTTTCATGTAAATGTGGAGTCAGTTCCTAGCTTGGTGTGGGGCTGCCTACTGCACTTAGCTAGGTCCTTTTGGTCCTGCTACAGCAGCTGTGATTCTGAAGAGAGATCAGGCCACAGGTTTTTAATCACTTCTTCAAGGCCAGCTGCTCCTGGTATCTACTGATGTATAAAATTCACCCCCAAACTTAGTGGCTTAAAGCAACAACGATCATTTTATTATCTCCTATAAACTATGGATCTGTGGTTTAGGAATCAAGGGAGGGCTTAGCTGGTCATTTCTAGCTCAAGGTCTCTCAAGCAGTTGTAATCGTATGATGGCTGGAGTTGGAAAAGAGGAGGGCTGAAGCATCGAAGGCTTGCCAGGCATCTTTTACTTCATGTAGTCTTCGGACATCTCCATGCGGAGCTGCTTGGAGTTCCTCACACCATGGCTGCTGCAGGCAGTCAGACAGCTCACATGGTGACTAAAGTCTTCCAGAGTGAGTGCTCCAGTGAACAATGCAAGCTGTGTTTGATGACTTAGCCTCAGAGGTCACTCAGTGTTGCTCCCACCATACTCTATGAGATAGTTGCAGAAGCCCACCAGTTCAAAGGTAGAGGATGTAGACCCCACCTCTTAATGAGAGCAGTGTCAAAGCAACAATGTAAGAAGAGAAATGTTGTCACAGCCATCTTTGGGAAGTTCAATCTGCCACATCAGCTTTGGCTGATTAAGAGCATCAAGAGCTCCAGGAGATGTGAGGAGGGAGTCAGTAAGAATTATTCTTGGATGTTACAACTTGAAATTTGTAGGTGTTCCAGATGTTGCTTATTTCTTTTTTATTTATTTACTTATTTTTTATTATTAGTTTCAGATGTGCAAAACAATGCACTAGTTATGCTTTTCACCCCTCATAAAGTGACAACCCCCCTCACCCAATCCACTGCCCCCCACCCCCGATATCATACTTATCTATTACAATTCCATTCACTCCACTCCCCACACTGTACTCCACATCCTGTGACTATATATATATATATATATATATATATATATATATATATATAAAATTATAGTTGACATATAATATTATTCAACAGCAGTTTAGTTTTTTTTTAATTTGAAAGATAAGCAGCATTGGTCTGGAGAGAACTAGCTTTAGTGCAGAAAAGATGAGTCTTCTGCTGTAGGCCTCTCCTTGGCAATGAAAGCAGAAGCAGCAGCAACAGCAAACGGAAGCATCTGGAAAGAGTCTCCACAAGGATCTGCAATTGGCCACGGTGGTTTTCAAGGAAGAAGCTACTGGAAGTCAGTTTTCCTAAAATATAATCAGCGTCCTCCACTTGCTCATAGTGTCTGCTCTTAAGTTTTGTTTACATGTGACTAATACGACAGCTCCTCAACTCTCCTTGCCCTCTTTCTATATCGTGGCGTGTCTAGTTCAGCCAATGGCCTCAACCTTTTAGTCTCACAGTGTCTAACAGAGAATATGATTTCCCATACTATGGTTTTCAAGCTGGCCACACAGGTCATAAGTCCTTTCCTGACTGAGTGACCAACATGTCCTAGTTGCCTCAGTAGTTTTCCAGTGTTAGCACTGAAAGTCCTGCTTCCTGGAAACCCCCTCAGTCCCAGGCAAACCAGGATGGTTGCCCCTCTGTCCCCTAGCTATTGAAGGGCTACTCTTGTATCAGATGCCCACCTCGGGAGGAGGAAGGCTGGGTCACCTGGTATCCAGCAGGACCACTATCTTTCAGCAGCGTGGGGTAGCTTCTCGGAGGAAGGGGTATGAACTGTGCCATCAATGATCAACCTCTCTAGTTAAAACTATACCTAGATGAATTTCTCATTAGAAGGGAAGGAATCAGCTATTGTAAATACTGATGTGCAACAGGTTGATGTATTGGGTTGTCGGAAAAGTCATGACGTATTTTTTTTATGTTTTTCGTTGCAAAAATGCATCATGACGTTTCTGACAACCCAATAGTAGAAAGAGCAGTGAAGTAGGAGTCAAAATACCTGGTTTCTGCCACCGAGAGGCAATAAAACCCCAGAGCCAAAGAATTCATCTTTCAGAGTCTCAGTTTCTCCGCCTGTAAAATGAAAGAATTAGATGAATGCTTGTTTCCTTTCTTTCCTTTTGTTTTAGAATTTCATTCCAGAAGGTAGAATTTCTCATATTCCTCAAGACAAGGCCTGCTATTATCATTGTTAGAGCAGGTTTCTCCCCTCCCCTCCCTTCAGCTCCCCTTCTTACCCTCCTGCCCTTCCCTCCTCACTTCCTGCTTTTACTAAGCACCATTTGAAAACCATCTCCATGGTGCTAGGTGTTGGTCTCTAAGGCTCCTTCCATGGTGATATATTATGAACATTGTTTAATATTGCACAATGCTCTGTTAGCCACAGTTCTAGCTACCTGGAATCAAATTATTGGTGGAATTTCTAGAGTGGCAGAGGGGAAAAGAAAGTATCTTTAATCACCCCCCCACCCCCAAATTATATAACTTTGTTCTGCATGAAGCAGACAAAATGGATTACTATGTAGAGCACATTTATGGGGAATAAATGAAGTGTTGGATGGCAAGAGCAGTTATGAATGCATCTTTGGGCCTCTGACTCTCTGAACCATGAAGCCTTCCCCAAACCTCCCAGATCTGCAGTCCTATGAGCTCTCACTGGAGGAGCTCACCTCCTGCAGGAAGCTGGCGGACATTTTTCTGGAGGAGGTGGGCGGAAGGGTTCCCTGGCTCTGGCTCTTCTTTCATCAGGTACGGAAAAGTATGGCACACGCCTAAGACCTCCGCCAGAGATGGGCCTCAAATAGTGCGTAAATCTGCAAGCTGTAACTCTTCTTCCCCAGGCGGAAGAGGACCCAGCCGGCATCCCGCCCAGAGAGTTCCTGTGGTTATTAATGGTTATTAGCAGAGCACTGTCTCTCAGGCTGAGCCGCTCTCCTGGTGGCATTGAGGCTAACGGAGCCATGTGGTGTCTGGGAACCGGCTGCGGGTGGGGAGCAGCTGTGGGGATTGGCCCCTCATGTTACTGCCTGCCTCCGCCTGGGAGAATGGATTCCATTTCAGACAGCAGCGATTCACACTGGGTGGCCTCTGCCTTCCCTCCCACATCAGCGCCACCAAGAACTACCAAGAAGGTTGAGAACAGCGTAGCGCCCCTTGGAAGAAACAGGCCCTGCTGACGGGCCTCTCTTCTCTCCCGTGTTTCATGCGCAACGAGGTCTTACTCTCCATTCAGACCTCTCAGCAAGCTCGGGCAAGATCCTGAAAGGTTTATAGCTGGTGACCACGTAGTGTAGTCCCATAGCAGGAACCTGCAGCTGCAGAGAACAGCCTTGAGCCATATCCCCCGCCAATAAGCAACAATGAGCAGATAGAACCATAATCACAGGAGAGGGAAGTGGGCCCAGGGAAAGTTTCTAAAGTCAAGCATGAACATTAGTTAAAAGAGCTGTCCTATAGTTAACTTTTCCTCATGATCGTAATAAAATACACTCTCCTAGGAGGAGATTTAAGATGCTAATGACACATGCAATGCAGGAAGTAGCGTGTAGGTACACTGCACAGGCGCAGGGAAGGACCCACCTCAACATACTTTGGGGAGGGAAAAAAGAAAGAGGGAGGGGTAGCTCCTAACCCCAAGAGCCCATAAAGTCACTGTACCTGTAAACCTTGGGGAGCCACATCCATGCTCCTCTGGAGTTGCTCCCTTGGTGCATCAAGCGTTCACTTTGATAAACCTTTCCCTCTGCAAAGGTGATTTGCCCACTCTCTTGGTTTCTATTTTGAGAGGGGTAAGGACCCCCGCGCCTATAACAGGTTGGTGCAGCCCGTGAAGTTACCGTGGGCGGGAGTGGAGGGGTGGGAGCTTTAGGTTCCCCCAAGGGACACACTTTCTCACCTGATCTTTATAGAAACGGTACCTCTTGACTCTATTCCAGGCCTTAACTATTTCTGCTCCTTTGAAGATGCAAAACAAACAAAAATGACAACAAAATACGAAAAATAAAATAAATAAGCATATAAACACACACACACACACACACACACACACACAGAGCAAAAGCCTACTGTTCGTAGCCCTTTCTCCACATCTCGGCTGATTCTGCATTAAAACATGTGGTTTCCATCATGCATTTTTCTAGTTTCTCAGAGGAGGAGATAAATGCAGTTACACACTTTACCTAAACACCTTCCTTTGCAGTGAAAGGACTTAAGCCAACCCTAAGCATCAGAGAAGGGTCACCTGGGCCATCATGCCTAGTAGCCATGATCCTCAGTACCCATGCAATGGCTTCAGGGCATCCTGACAAGGGCCCAGGTGCTCCAGCTCTACCAGGGACCCTCCTCAAGTAGCCAAGGAGAAAGCTTAAAGAAACAGCCATAAAATAATGTAGCCAGTCCTCATTGAGCTTACTATGGTATGTGCTCTCTCTGTACCATCTCACTTGATCTTCATACTCTTATGAAGTCGGTACTATTCTTTTTATAAATGAGGACACTGAGGCTCAGAGTCAAAGCAGCAACCCAGCTTCACAGCTAGTAATTGATAGAGCCAGGATTTGATGGCAGGAAAGATTCCAAAGCCTGAGCTGTCAACCACTGCATGTGCGTAAACTCACTCACACACTCACACACACACACACACACACACACACACACACACACACACTCACACATTCACACACACAATGGTGCATACATGTAACCTTTGGTTTATACAGGGTAATCATTTTTATAATATTCACAGAATCATAGATGGTTGGGAGTGGAAGTCACCCTGGAGATGACCTCTTTAACTCCTTCCCCACTTTCCATTTCTGCAAAAAAAGAAAACTGGGGACTTGCCTTACAGAAACAGTTCTTGGTTGAGCAAGCATTAGAATCACCTGGTTAAAACACAGAGCATCTAATTCAGTAGGTCTGGGGTGGAGCTCCAAATTTGCAGCTCTGACCAGGTCCAGGGGATGCTGACGGTCCTGGGACCTCACTGTGAGAACCACTGCAGTAGAGTAAATTGGACATGTGAAGGCCTGTAGGACCCATTGCAGTGCTGTTACTTAAGCTGTTCTAGCAGGGTCCATGAAGCCTAGACAAACACATCCCCAGAAGGGTCATTCTTATCTGAGTCACTTGTTCTTAAATAACTCTCTTTGGCTCTCAGCAACAGAACAGAATGTGGTGGGCAGAATGCTAAAAATGCGCTCCTCCAAAAAAGATTCCATATCCCTTATTCTCCCAGAACCTGTGAATGTGAAAAGCATATCATTCCTGTGATTGTCTTATGTTATATGGCACAGTTGACCTTAAAAAGGGATTATCCAGGTGGGTACAATTTCATCACATGGGTCCTTAAAAGCAGAGCACTTTCTATGGTTGTCACAGCAGAAGAATAAGGAAGAAGATAGAATGGAAGTCAAGGAGATCTGAAGACTGAGGATGACTCGAAGTGCTGTAGCCGTTTTGAAGGTAGAGAGGGCTGCAAGAGAAAAGTAGGCGATGCTAGAAGCAGAAGTAACCTCTGGCAAGGAAACAGGCCCTTAGTCCTGCATCTGCACAGGGCTGAATATGCCAGCAACCTGAATGAGCCTGGGGACAAACTCTCCCCTAGAGCCTCTGGGTAAGACTGACTCCTGACCTACAGAACTAACTATGAGCTATTAAATGAGGGCCATTGTAAACCTCTGTTTGTGGTTATGCCACAGTAGAAATCGAATACACAAGTACATAAATTCCTGAGTTCGGAAGGGAACTACTGCCCAATGCAGACTGCCCCCCTTCAACCTCCCCGCCCCACCCCATCCAGAAGATCCTCAGACCACAAGCTCGGCCCCTGGGAGGCTCACCTTGTTGTTTGCTGAAAATGTCAGTGGCTGTGACCTAAATTCCAACTCCGTCAAGGTAACATTCACTTTAGCTGGAAAACAAAAAAAACTAAAGGTTGTCCGAGAGAACACCTGGAGAACCACCTGCTCCAGCGACCCTCGGCAGACGCAGCCTGGCTCCAGACCACAGACAGAGAGCACTTGTCAGCGAGTGTGTGTCCTTCATGGAAGAGCAGTTTAAAAACAGTTTAGGAAAACAGATTGTCCCCCAGCACGGCTACTCAGTCAGAAAACATAATTTCCTGTTTCTGAGATTAATCATCTATAGAACTGAGGCTCCGTCTCTCACCTGGATATTGGGAAGCTCAAGCAAGAGGCTGGGATAAATGCGCAGAATCCATACAGCAATGATCGCCACGCCCCTCCAGTATGCTCGTTATTCTTGAAACAAAGTAAGATGTATAGGGACAGTTTTGGTTTTCGACATGACCGTGGTATAGTTATGATTGTACAGTTATGGTTCAGCCACCATGCCTTTTTATTGTAAAAGGTGAATATAACTATCCGCCACCATAGTCAGACACAATTCAAGTAAATGAAACAGGTTAGCAGTGGATAATCCCTACTGAGATTTCCCCCAAACACCCCCCTCCAACTAATTTATAGATGCCCACCATTCATTAAAGCATAGGTTCATCTTTCAGGGTTGAGGTTACACATCTGGCCTGTTCAGGGCCCTTAACTATGTATTGATCCTCTCACCACAAGCCCTATGGGGGTGCAGTCAAGTAGCACATGTGGCCTTGCTCATGTTCCCGGCAAGTCTGCAACCTTGGCCCTCTGAAGGCACAGAGCTGGTCAGAGCATGGCTTTCGGACCGTAGCCACCCCTCTCCATGATAGCTGCCTGCTATCGCAGCTCTAGCCCTAATGACCAGCCATGTCATGGACGAAGTACCTGCCTTGTGTGGGACACCAGGGCCAGTCTAGCGCCTGGATTTCCGAGCAGGGTCAGGGACGGTGCTTTTTGATCCCACTTTCCTCTCATAGCTACTGGATGCAGAGTTGAGCCCACGGACCAGTTTCCTTGAGAACCCAATAATGCCCTCCAGGCCTTTTCTGATTTTGTTGATTTTCTCATGATTGCAGGATGATGGTGGCCAGTGACAGGGTCCTACTATGCAGAGCAGAGCATCCTGCCACCTTCCTACTGCTTCTTTCTACTCCCCCAACCCTCTACTGCACCTCCCCCTCCCTCAGTGTGCTGGGGTTGGAGAAGCCAAACAGTGTCATTCTACCCAAATGTTTGGGAAGAAATTCATTTCGAGTTTTGGAAATCTTGAAGTTTTGAGACACATATTTGAAAGCATAACTAGCAGATCGTTGTTTTTCCATGTTGTTCAAGCTCATGGCTTTATTTTATTTTGCTTTTTATGTGCTTTGAGTGGTTGAAATATTTGGTACTTTTTTGCGACTAGAGAACTGGTGGTATTTCATCTGTGGTCAAATCAAAGCGAATATGGCCCACGCTGCTGTGAAAACATTATACGGCAGGATCATGGGCTGAGCAGCTAGATTTTTGGAAGAGGAATTTGTCACTTTACCAAACTTTTAGAAAAAGGCATTTGATCACACCACACACACACACACACACACACACACACACACACACACACACACACGACTTCCACAAAGTGATTTACTTCCCACCATGATGTATTCTATCAAATGTTTTAATATCCGACCATGCTAGTTTCATTTCCCACAAGAGTTCTCTGATAAGCTCTGAAAACTTTTTTTGTGTGGTTTTAGTGTCACTTTTCATTCGTCTCTTTGAACTGTAGTTGTTTCAAAATTACAATTTTTAACTAGGAATGTGGATTGGTGGTTAAAAACAGGTTTGATGTGTAAGTCTGAAAAACAGTGAAAGTATATAAGAAACTCAGGAAACTTCAGAACTTGACATGACTGATGACTGTGACAGAGTGTTGCCCACGTGGGTCTCATTAAGAACTTGCCAGTAAATAAGAATGAGGTTACTAACCAACCACGGGTGAATAAGAATATGACGTGGTTGAACTAAAATCTTGGGACACCCTTGGATGTCCACATGGACAAAAAGTAAAGCAGTAGCTCAGTATCTCAGACTTAACAGTGAAAGGTCAGTATTCCTCTGTGGAAGATTATATTTTCCAGAGAGCAGCAATCATATCTCTTATCGCACATGCTCTTCTTCACAGTGACCTTGACATTCTTCTCATAGAGAGGAGGAATCTAATTCCCTTCCTTTTGTATCTCTGTTGCCTTAGTGACTTGCTTGAGCAATAGAATAAAATGGGGCAGATTATGCCGATTGCAACACACTCCATCCTTGCTGCTCAAGGACACATCAGGAAGATAGCCTGAGGGGTCATCTGCTTGCTTTTCCATCTGCTTGGCAGTGAAGTTGGAGATTATAGGTTTTGTCCTGGAGTAGGGAGAGGCATTTGGGTGGGGGAGAGTCCCCCAGTCTCCCAGGAGCACTTGGAATTAACTTGGGAGTAGGGTTTCCTAAGATTCCTGATGACAAGCGCCACCTGGTGCACTTATTCTCCCTTGGAAATTTTGGTTCTGTTCTGAGCTTTGAGCTCAGATTTTGCCTTTTAAAAAAATGGCCTGGATGATTTTTTATCATCTGAGAAGTTTGGGAAGTCCTGACTTAGGGCAAGAGGCCAACTCTTTTCCTTCTGCTCAATGCTGTGAAAGGGATCTGATACAATATTTAACCACTGAAGACAGCCATCTGTTTGCACAAGATCTATCTAGGAAAAAAAGAAGGCTACAGTTACTATTTTGTGGAGGAAGAAATTTGTGGGGTTGCTTTGAAGAAGCTCTGCAGTTACGAATGACAGATAACGTCATTGAAGTTGGAGCTTTCTTCTCTACATCAGCTTGGGTTTGGTTGCGAAACACAGCAGGCATGAAAATGCAGCTGTTTACTTCACCTTGGAGACCGGGGATGATGCTGCCACCTCAGAAGGAGGGTCTGGAGTGCATTTCCCCTGAGACACCAGGACATCCCTGATGCTCACTCAACCTCCGCCAGTGATGGGGTACATGGGAAGGTCTCCTGTGGTGTCCTTCCTCTCCCACAGCTGGAATTATTCCCCAAATGCTGAAAGGAAAGGCACATGAGAAGTGAGAAGGAATACACAGTCAAGAAAGGGGTGTCTGTCCATTTCTAATGAGCTGTCCCGGCAGGAAAATTGGGTTAGGTAGTCTGAGCATGTGGTCAATACATCAAAGGCCCCTCCATGGCCAGAGGCCCTGGAGGTTGCTCTGCCATTTCTACGCTCCTGGTTTTGGTAGGATGCTAACATGGCCTTGGAACAGTGCCTTACGTGTTCAGAAAAGCACCTCCTAGCACATAAGGCAGCTCACTAGACACTTTTTGAATGAGTGAATGAAAATGTGAATGAGAGAGCTTGTCATTGAACTGCAAAACAGTTGACAATACATGAGAAAGCCTCAAGCCTCATTTCTCAGACCTTTATTCTTCTAAACAAAGTTCAGGCCTCTGCCTGTTCTACTCTGTTAACCACAGAAGCCCAAAGTTCTTCCATAACTAATCTGAACCTGTGATTCCTTTGCTCTGCTCTTAGGAGCTCTCACAACCCCTTTCCCTTCCAAGAAGCGGGCGATCGCTTGAGAACGATGGAGCAGGGCAGCAACCGCTTGGAGGACTTCCCTCTTAACGTCTTTTCGGTCACTCCTTACACACCCAGTACTGCGGACATCCAGGTGTCCGATGATGACAAGGCAGGGGCCACCTTACTCTTCTCAGGCATCTTCCTGGGACTGGTGGGGATCACATTCACCGTCATGGGCTGGATCAAATACCAAGGGGTCTCCCACTTTGAATGGACCCAGCTCCTTGGGCCCATCCTGCTGTCGGTCGGGGTGACATTCATCCTGATTGCCGTGTGCAAGTTCAAAATGCTCTCCTGTCAGTTGTGCAAAGACAGTGAGGAAAGGGTCCTGGACTCGGAGCAGGTGGCAGGAGGACAATCGTTTGTTTTCACTGGTATCAACCAACCCATAACCTTCCATGGAGCTACTGTGGTGCAGTATATTCCTCCACCTTATGGCTCTCAAGAGCCCACTGGGATAAATACCACCTACCTGCAGCCAATGGGGAACCCTTGTGGTCTCACACTGTCTGGAGCAGCAGTGGCTGCCACACCAAGCCCTCCACAGTACTGCTCCATCTACCCACCAGAGAACGCTGCCTTTGTGGATGACCAGGACTACCCGTCCTTCGTGGATGGTGGAAATGACAGGTATTGTGTGCTTGGTGGGGATGCTCTCCTTCCAGCTGTCACAGTCATGGTCTGTGCTGTGTTTGGTCTGTAAGGAAGGTGACAGGCGAATACAAATCTCTGTGCAGCCTGTTGCCAGGTTGGTGGCATTGGTTTAGGGAGTGGTGCTGTGGGCTGTAACAAATCTGTGTTTTCTGCTCACATTTCAGGTCCAGCCCTGATGCTGAGCAGCTAGAAGAGACACAGCTGGGAAGTGAGGGCTCTGCCTGCTTCTCTCCTCCCCCCTATGAGGAAATATTCTGCTCCCCTCGCTAGAGACTATGATGCTGAGGAGAAAGCATTTAAGTCATTGTTGCTGACCAATGGAGTCTTTTATGCTGTGACCTTCAGAAGTTAGACTGCAGAGCAGCCCAAGCAGCCCGACAGATACCATTCAAAAGGGTGGGGGGAGACAAAATGTCTCAGATGGGTAAAAATTAGGCTGGGGTGGACAAATTCCTTTCCGGTCCAGCCAGAAATCTCCTGCATGCAGCTCAGGTGCAGGAATCTCACCTGTGTATCCACCACCCACCTCTTTCCTATAGGAAGGCACTGGTGTCTCAATTTTAACTCCAGCAGCCAAGGGGAAAATTGCTACTGCTGGGACTTTGGGAGTTTCCATAGTCATGAGAGTGGGGGTTTTGAAGGAAGCAGGGAAGAGAAAGCAGGTCCACCTGGAGATCTCCCAGGGCCTATTCTGTCCCCAAAGTGGATCTGCATATCTCAAACAACTTGGTTGCCATCTGGTGTAACCTTGAGGAGTCTGGATATCTTAAAGGCTGTAAAAATAAATAAGCAAAACAAATAAATAAATGAAGTGAAATAAAGGATATCTCCTGTTACACTATTAGATAGCTGGCAAAACTCTACAAAAATAAATAATAGGACAATGATGTCATTAAATCCTTAAGTTCTCATTGAGTCACAGTGACTGTTGGCTGCTGATGTTCTCCTCAGCGAGGCTGAAGCTTGATGTGTCCACCCCAAGTTGGGATCTGTGCTGAGCACAGACTACCTGGGCCCAGTGGCCAGCAGGACCCAGGGACTTCTCTAAGCACCCATTGATGAGTTCTGTTGAATTAGACAGAATACAGCTGCTGTGTCAACACCTGGAAAATCATGAATCATGGAAAAAAATCTTTATGGCCAAGACAAGCTCACCTTCTTTATAAAAAAAACTTGGCGTCCTTAATTTCCCTGAATCTGCACTGTGTAATAAACAACCAGAACAGATTCACAGACTTTGGAAGAGACAGTTAAAACCATCAGGTTTTAAAAGAAAATATTTTCCTTAGGCTACAAAGGTAAGGCCATGCAAGGTAAGGGAGGCTTACTAAAAGCAAGACAGGATTTAACAATTCTTTAAAGTTTTGGTACAATGCTTATATATGGAGTGACTTTTTACTAATTTTTATCAGAAATATCTAGTTTTCCTGGGGTATGATTAATATAAGCTTGGTATATTAATGTGAGTTGGATTATATCTCAGGAAAAAAAGGTTTTCATATGAGAATTCATTTTCATGTTTGATGATAAAAGGTGATGGAAAAACATAATTCAGTTTACAGAAACTAGCTGTATTCTCAATACAGTCATGAAATACCTAATTCCTAGCTGAGGGCAGCTGGCTCTGGGGAGGAAGTTGGGTGACAGGGACAGGGTTTGAGCATCACCAGTGTTCTACCAGCAGTGACACTTGGAGCCCTACGTGCTTGCCTCCTTCACCCCTTTCCCTCCTCATCCTCATCTACCCTACAACTTTTTATTCCTGGGTTTGGGTTATAATGAGCACCAAGGGAAGCTCAAATTGGAAAAGATGTTAGGAAGAGGTGTCACTGTACAGAAGCTGGGAGGGTAGGACAGCCCATTCGCCTGGGTGATACCAGGAGTCCCATAAGCAGGGACGTGGCCTTGGGGAGGTTTTAGCTCCAGGCAGTAGAGTCATTCAGCACCGACTGTCACTGTTCCAAGTCAGAGAAAAGTACTAACTGTAGAGGAAACTGGTGCTTCTGAAGACAGTGTGTCCGAGTTAACAGCTTCAGGAGCTCAAGGCGGGAGGCCAGCCTGTGACAGTCAGGGGATCAGAAAATGGGAATTTGTTTATTTATTCAACATTTATTGATTGAGCATCTACTCTGTGTCAGGACCGGGGCCATCAAGTAAGTACACAACAGTGAAAAACCAAACCAACAAAAGAGCAGATGTGGCTCCCTACCTGTAGCACTTCCTGTCTGCTGGTGGAGACAGATACTGATTGCTTATTCGCTGATACCAGTGAGGGGTCCTGGAGCTGTAAGAGGGGTTTGGACAAGTCAGGAGAGTCACAGGGTTTGCTTGGGGTGAGTGAAGTCAGGGCCCTTGCCAGCATGTAACCCCAGGGAACATTGTTCACATGAATAGCCAGGCGACTGGTGTCTCTCAGCCTCTGAGGATTGTCCTGGGAGCTGCATAGCTCATTTCCATACGAAGAGGAGGAGGGAGACGCCTGGCAGATCCCCTGAGTGGGAGGCAGTATTAGGAGACACTATGCAGGCTGTATAAACCTTTCTATTTCACTGCTGCTATAGCCCTCAAACAGAGCTGTCTTCCTATACCTGAGAAATGACACCCACCAGCTCTCTTGCTTCAAGACAGCTCCACAATGCTCTCTTTCTGTCTTTATTCAGGGGTTGCAGGGGCCAACATGACAGGAAGCCCATTGAGTGGCCCCTGGACTGACACCAGGTCTTTGCTTGGTCTCTTTGACCAGCGAGGACACATTCCTGGCAGAGTTTCAGGTTTGTCATTCAAACATTTGCCTTTTATCACTCTCTCTCTAGTCTATTAGAGATGAATGAAGGACTGTGATCTGGGGATAGTGACTTGAGTCCATCTGGCCCTGGCCATGCTAGCCACCCTGAGATTATCAGTGAAGGAAATGGCCTGCCTTTCAGCATGTGCTCAAAGGCTCAGTGTCTGGGCCAGAACCCGTGGGGCCTTGTCAAACATTTTAATATGTGTTTGCAGAGCAGTTGGGAAGCCATTAAAGTGTTTTAACGAGACGTGCGATCTGATTCTGAACACCAACCATTAGGGCAAGACCCAGAGGCACACAGGGTATAATGTTGACCTTGCTAGCACAGCTCGGATCTGAGTGACCAGAACCAGGGCACATCCCTCTCCTCCACCCGCAGCCATCCTGGGGCCAGTGCAGGTAGACATGCTCTGGTGATCTACATGGAATTCAAAATAAAACTAAAAGGGCTTGTTCATCAAAGCAGACAAGTTTCTTAAGAACTTAACCTTATCTGGAAACATTGCCTGTGAACCGATTTGGGCTCCTTTTGGCTGGAGAGACTGAAGACAGCTGACAGTCTTGGTGAGGCAGAGAAGAGATCGTCCAGTCCTGGGGAAGGAAGCCCAGACCCCAAAGGGAAGACGCTTTCACAGAGCTCCTAGGACTCCTTTCTGCCCGTGGGCCAGCGGAGGGGCTGGCCTCTTGTGCAACGGGAACCTGCACTCACTGCCTTTGGCAGAGCTCTGGGACTCGTCTTGCAGGGGTGGAGCGTTTCTCAGAGACTACAGTCCAGTTCTCTTTTGCTTCAGGGAGCCAGGCACAGGTCTAAGCTTCAAATGTACCAAGTGGCTCTACGCTACAAAGCCAGCCCTTTAAGTGCTCTCCTCACTTGTTTGAGAAGTAAGTATGAAAATAAAGCTTCTTATATGTGAAGAGCTGGCCCTGGGTGTCTGCTTTCAGCTTCTGACCTCTGGGTCTCCTCCCTGGCCTTGTTTACTGTAAGATCAGTGGAGTAGGGTTGCGATGAAGCCCCACACCCCTGTGCAGCTGGTGTTTCTCCTCTAAACAGAAACTGCTCACAGTAACTGTGGAGTAGATGCCCTCTTACCAACTGAGAGGAGAGAGATTGCCACACATGCTTAGCTCTCAGCAGTGTCCCCACCTGTTACAGTAACCAGGGTGCCGTCTGCAGAGGCTGCAGTCACCAAACGCTTCATTCAGAGCCCTCTACCCAACCCACACTCTCGGGTCCTGTTGAGTAACAAATGTGAAATGAATAAACGAGAACTTTTCAAATAGATAATGACCACTCTAGCTCAACCTAGCTGTTTTGTTGTTTTCTACATTATGAAAAATGTCAAACAAATGCAAGGAATTTTGTATACATTTCAAACAACTATAAAATTTCAAACAAATACATGAAACCTTATGTAGCCATCACCGAACCTCAACTCATGGCCAATCTTGTTTCTTCGTATACTCCCATCCACAGTGCCCCAACTGGAGTTTTAATAACTTTGAAAAAGAAAACCTAAACCACCAAATCATTTCATCCTAAAATATTTCCTTGTGTATTTTTAAAAGATAAAGACTCAAAAAATATAATGCCTTATTATTACACCTAAAAAGTTATGATAGGGACGGCCGAGTGGTGCGATGGTTAAGAACTGGCTTGGAATGCCAGAGGGCCCCGGTTTGGATCCCACATATGAGGGCCAGTGACACTGCCCTCCACAGCTAAGATGCTGAACAACAGCT